ATTCCTTAGGTCTCGAAGTCCGACAAGGCGGTCGCGAGCCTTCCGTTCCCGCCCAAGTCGTTCTTTGCGCCGTCCAGCGACAAGCGCAAGTCACAACTGGACGCGTTCATGACGCAGTTGGCGCCATTGGCGCTCTCCGAGAAGGGCCAGCAGCTCCTCGATGGTCTCCTCCACATTGCCAAGCATGTGACGGCCCACGAAGAAGAGGAAAAGAAGGCTGTCGCGGCCAATCCCGAAGAAGAGGAAGAGGAGGAAGATGCGATCGATGAGGTCAGCAGCAACCAAGACACGCACGACGACGACGTGCCTGTCGACAACAACAAGGATGCCGATGAAGAAGACGCTGTCGACCCCGTCAAGGAAGGCGATGCGACGGTGGACGGCGTCGCCGCCGTGCAGTCGGCGGAAGCGGCCGTCAACATGATCTCCAAGATCTGCCTCAACTTTGAAGCCAAGAAGGCCCAAAAAATCGAAGCGGAAGCCACCTCGACTGTCGTCACCGAGACGCCAGCGGCTGTCGAAGTCGCCGAGCCCGTAACGACCCCCGTTGTCCAAGAGCCAGTCCCTGTCACGGAGATTGCCGCTGAGGCTGTCGCGACTCCCATCATCAAAGCCCCCATCGTCGTTGAAGCCCCCGTCGTCGTTGAAGCTCCTGCTGCCGTGGAGATCGCGGTTGAGGAGGCTGCCACTGTTGAAGCCGTCGTCCCAGCCCCCGAGGTGGAAGAAGCGCCTGTCCAGGTGGCCGTCGCGCCCATCCAGGTCAGTAGCCAGATCGCCAAGAAGGAAACCAAGTCGAGCCCCGTCCGTGTCGAGATTGTGACACCCGACCAAATTTTGTCCCCGGCGCTTGTGACCAAGGCACGACCGACCTTCCACAGCATTGACGCCAGCACGACCGACGACGATGAGATGTACGCGGCTAAGAAGGCGATGAGCGAGGACCAGAAGAAGCGCCGGAACCGCCGCCGCGCGCAGAAGCGGAAGAAGGCCAAGAAAGGCGCGTCTGGCTCGTCCGGCTCGGACACGGCCCAGCCCGTGTCGCCGTGAACCTTCTCTCTCTGTGCTAGCTCCTCGACTATGAACCCCATTTGTACCACCACAACAAATACATAAATATTAATGCGTGCCATGTCAATGGACGACGTTGTCGTGTCGTCGTACGATGCAGATGGAGGCTGGATCTTCCCGCTCGCGCCAGCTCGAACGTCACAGCGCCCACGGTCTGTTTAACCCATTTGACCCATTTGGTCGTTGTCGAAAAATGAATTAAAATTGAATAAAAAAGCGACTGCTTCAACTAGAGTGTTGGTCGTTTTTCGTTCGGGTGTGTTCGGTCGGCAGCACAGCATGGCGGATCGACTGCACGGCTTTGACCAGCCCACGGTGTGGCACGAGTTCACGCCGCTCGCGCTGCAACATGGCGCCATCAACCTCGGCCAAGGTACTTCCGCCACGAGCTATGCCACGAATGATAAAGGTCGTTGTCGTAGGCTTTCCCGACTGGCCGATGGAGGCCATGTTCAAGGCCCATGCCCGCAGCGCGATCGATATGGACTTTAACCAGTACGCGCGCCCGCAAGGCCACTTGCGCCTCGTGCGAGCACTGGCTGCGAGGTACTCCAAGCAGCTGCACCGACCTATCGAAGCGACGACCGACATTGCGATCGGGGTCGGCGCCACCGAGGTCATGTACAGCGCCCTCATGGGCTTGCTCTCGTCGCCACGCGACGAAGTGGTCGTGCTCGAGCCGGCCTTTGATATCTACGCCGCTCAAGTCCAAATGGCCGGTGGGTGCTGCAAGTTTGTGCCGCTGCGCTGCGACGCGGCGCAGTTTACACTCGACGGCGATGCGGTCGAGGCCGCCTTCTCTGCTCATACGCGGGTACATCCTAATGCACCGACCCACTCGTAACGCAGACACATGCACCAGGTCTTGATCATCAACAGCCCACACAACCCAACGGGCAAGGTTTTTACAGAGCCCGAGCTCGCGCGCCTCGCTTCCATTGTTGCCCGGTAGGCTCCATGTCCACACATGCTGCCAACAAAGAGGCTCGCATTAGGTACCCCCGGGTCGTCGTGCTCTGTGATGACGTGTACGAGCACATGAGCTTTGTGCCCTACCCTCGGTTCGCCAACCTCCCGGGCATGTACGAGCGCTCCATCACGATCTCGTCCGCGGGAAAAACCTTCTCGGTGACGGGCTGGAAGATTGGGTGGGCCGTCGGACCCTCGTCGCTCGTCCAGCGTATCCATCTCGCCAACAACTGGATCCAGTTCAGGTAGCAAACTATTAGCACACTGGTTGGTGATCTATCTCACACCGTCTTTCGACAGCGTTGCGACCCCGCTCCAGGAGGCGGTGGCGGCCATGCTCGAGCAGGCCGACGAGCCATTTCAGTCGCACGACTCGTACTTTGTAAGCGTCGCCGCTCGCCACAAAGCGGGACGGGACCTACTTATCGCCGCCTTTACCGCCCTCGGGCTCGGCGTCGTTGTCGCCGACGGCGGCGCCTTTCTTCTTGTCAACATTGCCAACGTTGAGATACCGACAAAGTACCTCGAAAAAGGGTCGCGCGATTATGCTTTTTGCCGGTACCTCACGATCGAGAAGCGTGTGACGGCGATTCCCGTCAGCGCCTTTTACTGCGACGAGCACAAGGCGCTCGGACACAACTACGTGCGCTTCGCGTACTGCAAAGAGACGTCGACGCTTCAGAGCGCCATCGAGCGCCTCCAGACGCTCATCGTAACGACGCGTGCCCACTAAAGATGCGCAGTGCACACGTTTGGAATAACGAAAGCAACAAGATACATGCTGTTGTGGACCGTGCGATCCAATGGTCGCGAACCTCGTTGGCGCACGGAACGCGACCCTCCTGAACGATCCAGTCGAGAAGCCAAGAATGACCTTGTAGCCAACAACGATAGGGAGTTGATAACGACGATGACACGACGTATTGCCGGCCGATGAGCTCCAGCACGTCGATGAGCTTTTGACGACCACCGACGTTCAACACACATCTAGTACGTAAGTCGATGTAGGTGGAGTCTTTACGTCTGTATAAAGATTTCACGGCGAGCGAATGAAGAAGAAGGAGATTGCTAGTCTCTACGTATGCGAACTCTTTGTAACAACGAAGATAACGCGAAACACGTTTATATATATATAACGATTTCAATCCATTCTTTATCATATCATATCATATTGGTTGATATAACGCTGCGAGGTTTAGCGCATCGCATTCGACGACAACGACTGGCGGCAATGTTCTGCATCGAAATTGTAGTGATCGAACCCATGTTGATGTTGACAGGGTTCCCAAGATGCTGCCCCACCTTCAGCATGACGACCTCCTCGCGACCGACTAACGACTGCCTCGCGACCGACTAACGACTGCCTCGCGACCGACTAACGACCTCCTCACAACCGACTAGCGACCGATTAACGACTGTATGGTGCGACTGCCTCGCAAACATGGAGCGCTCGCGGTGTCCCCTTTCTCCGTCCTGGATATGCTTGCAGGTGGTACTGCCACGTCACGACGCGGATCTTCCGGATACGCGGTGCTATACGGATGTTTCCGTGGATCGCAGTTTCCAACGTCGAAGAAGCATGGGGACGATCCTCGGGAAGCAGCGCTACAACGAGGAGCCGGTCGAGCTCATGCGCGAGACCAAGTACTTCTCGCAGTGTACGAGCAGCGTCCATCTTCATCGTCATCTCTCGCTTCCTGCAGGGACGCTCGCCGACGTCCGCGACCTCTACGCGCGCTTCCGCAAGACTGGGGCTTTGCCATCACCGAGAGCCAACTCGAGTCGCTCATCCTGCTCAAGCAGCCAGACGCGGTCTCGATCAAGGAGATCTTTGCCATCCTCGACGCGACGCGCGACGGCAAGCAAGATGGACGCATCGACGGCCTCGAGTTCATTGGCGGCCTCACCGTCATCTGCCAAGACACGTTTGAAGAGAAGGCCCGGTGTACGTATTGCTCCCGATGTCTCGAGCAGCCTGTAAGGTGCGCATCTAGTTGCCTTTGAAGTGTTCGACTTCAACTTGAACGGATCGCTCTCGCCCATCGAGCTCGTACGAAGGATGCACTCGCGTCGGATGCAAAAGGTCATGGACCTGTGTGTCTAGGCCCTCCTCATGCGGTCGTGCTACGGCGGGATCACGATCCTCACGGGCGGTTGCCTCGCGTCCGTGCCGCCGATCCCGACGTTTGTCCAAGTCGCACAGCAAGCGTTCTCACGCTTTGGCCGGGTACATGCAAAGCGAGTGAAGACGAACGAACGAATATGCGTAGGACCAGAGCGACGCACTCAACTATGAGGAGTTTATTGCGTGGGCGCGCAGCAACCGCGAGTTCATGCTCTACATGGACGCCTTCCGGCTCATCTCCGAGACAGCCAAGGAACGCGTGCCCGAAGCCGAGTGGATCCAAGAGGTATGGATGTCATACCGTCTGTATCGATGGCCCTATTCTGTCTATGGATTGACGACGGATATCTTATCTTCTAGGCCAGCGACGACGACTCGGACATTGAGGTCGAATGCTGCACACCGCCACCAAGCCTGGCGCCTCCGACCAAGCCCGCGACAAGTGCATCTCCGTTTCAGCTCGAACCGTGGATGGTCGAGCCACTCAACCCAAAGCCGGCGCCGCGCCGCCTCCCCCCCGTCAACATCTCCCTCGAGTGGGTCTATGGCTACCGGGGATACGACGCTCGGAACAACGTACGGTACACGTGCCATGGGGACATTGTCTACTCGGTCTCTCGCCACGCGATCGTGTACAACGCGGTGCGGCACGAACAACGCTACTACGAGGTAAGAGGATCTTTCTTTTTCGACCACCTCGTACGGATTGATCAACTGGATGCAGGGACATACGAATGCGATCCTGTCGCTGGCCGTGTGTGCCAACGGCGACAAGGTCGCGACGGGAGATGTCGGCCCCAACTGCGCGATCCATGTCTGGTCGCCGCTCTCGCTCGACTGCCTCTCGATTCTATCGCAGTTTCACGACGACGGCATCGCGCTCCTTGCATTTGCGCAGCGCTACGATACCCAGCTCGTCTCGGTCGGGTTGGACCCAAACCACCGCATTGCCGTGTGGGACTGGCCCTCGAAGAGCGTCGTCGCGTCTGGCATTGGGTCGACGCGAAAAGCGCTGGCGGTGGCGATCCACGACAACGGCCAAGAAGTGGTGCGTGTAACGAGGACCGAACCGAAGGCCGACGACCTTTTCGTAGGTGGTCGCAGGCGACAAGTCGCTCGAGTTTTTCTCGGTCGAGAACCGCATTTTAAAAAAGGAGCGCGCGGCGCTCGGCACGATGGGCATCTGGCAAGGGTTTCTCTCGGTCGTGTACTACCAGTCGTATGTGATTGTGGGCACGAGTCTCGGTCAGCTGTACCAGTTCCAGAACCGCCGGCTCGTCCGCACAACGCAAGCCCACCCAGTTGTTTATACGTGACACATGACCCCTCGCCCTCACACGTGTGTAGATCAAGGAGTCGGTCAACTGCCTCTACGTCGCGCGCGCGTCGCTCTTCTCGGGCGGAAAGGATGGAACGATCCATCAGTGGGACTCGACGCTGCAGACGATTGGCCACCCGATGGACTTGAGTACACTGCCGCTGTCGCTCTCGGACTTTCGCATCACGAGTCTCTGTTACAACTACAACGACGAGACGAATCAAGGGACACTGCTTGTGGGTACGCGCTCGTGCAAAATTCTGCAAGTCAACGAAGTTTCGGGCGCCGTGACCCTTGTCACGGCGTTCCATCAGCACGAAGCGATCTCGGGCCTCGCGACAACACCCAAGCGCGCCGAGTTTGCGTCCTGCGGCCTCGACCGCGTCGTGCGTCGGTGGAGTCTCCGGAAGCGCGAGCCGCTCACGAGCATGCCGCTGCTCATGTACGCTCCCGGGAAGTGCCTCGCGTACGCCACGAGCGGCGACTGGCTGGCCATGGGCTGCGCGGACGGCACAGTATGATCGTGTCATTGGGGCAGACCTACGATGCGACATGTAGATTGTGCTTTTGGACCACAAGTGTACCAAGATGCTGTGCAATTTTCGGCATGCCCAAGCAGCGATTGTTGCGATCCAGTGGGCCAACAATGACCAGCTGCTCGCGGCGTCTGGTGCCAACGGACTCATTTACGTCTACCGCGTCGAGCCGACAACCGCAGCGACGTTTCGTCTCTGCCAGCAGTGCCTCCTCAAGCCTCTGGCCAACGAAGCCGCGGTGCCTGGGACATCGCTGGATTTCTCCGTCGACAATCGGTACCTGCAGAGCCAGCACGGCAGCGGACTCCGCTTCTGGGACCTCCTCTCGGCCACGCGCGTCTCGGTCGTCCAGCACGTGCGCGATACGCTGTGGAGCTCGTTCCGCAGTCGAATTGGCTACTCGGTGCAGATGCTGCATGCTAACCACGACGAGATCTCGGCCGCGTGCGTCAACCGTCACCAGACCCTCCTCGCGGCCGTCACTCGCAACGGAAGCATTGCACTTCGTGCGTACCCTGCACTGGACAACCTCGCCAAGTGCGTCTTGGGCCACAGTCCGCACGACCTCGCGTACCTCGGTTTCGCACGCAACGACGGGCTCCTCGTCTCGGCCACCACCGCCGACCACTGCATTTGCCAGTGGAAGATCACAAAGGAGGCTGCCGACGAGCAGCCGCGCCCCAAGCACGTCGTGTCGGCGGTACGAATGCGTCTTCTTTTCACCAACCATGGCATTGAAAATGGAGAATGCAGGCGGAAGACCCGTGCGCGGATGCCCACCTCTTGCAGTGGACGCCGCCAAGCGAGCGCAGTCGGCCTAATCCCGCCATGGCCACGCTCCTGACCCCATCGTACTACACGCCGAATCCCCACCACAAGGCGTACGCAGCTCGACTCGGCGATAGAATCCATACGTGCTGGCGTAGGGAGGCGCCCGACTTGGACCTCGAGCTCGCCTACGTGCACGGTATGAATTGGAGCAACGGCCGAGCCATGCTCGGGTGCACAGACTCGGGTTCGATCGTCTACTCGGCGGCGACACTTGGCGTTGTGTTCGAGCCGACAACCCGCGTCCAGTCGCGCTACGTCTACCACAAGCAGCGCATCACGAGGTACATACTTGTCTCGGATGCAAGATCAAGGATGATGTTGTTGCTGTAGTGTGGCCGTGCATCCGCTCGGCAAGGTCGTTGCGACGGGGTCGTTTTCCCAGCTCGTTATCTGGGATGCCTCCTCGATGGAGACCCTGGGCGTACACGCTGTGAGCGCACCCGTGCTCTTCCTCGCGTTCAATGGCGCGGACCTCCTCGTGGCCGTCATTGCCGACCGGTACCACTCGGTGGCGGCGTTTTTATGGAAGGAAATGCACCAGATTGACGTTGCCCAAAACACGCTGGAGCGCGTAGACTGCACGATCTTCTGTCATTGCCACTTTCATTGTTGGCATAGGTGATGGACTGCGCGTTTACGCTCGACGGCGCGTCGTTCGTGACGTGTGGCGTCAACCACATTCGATTCTGGACCGTCGAGAACCGATACCATTTAGCATCGCAGCAAGGTGTGTTTGGGCGCGTCGCTTTGCGTCAGACCCTTCTCTGCGTCGCAACGGCCGGCGGCAACCTCACGGTGACGGGCTGCGAAGACGGCTCGCTGATCCTATGGGAGCACACGCACGCCGTCTGTGTTGTGCAAGCCCACTCGGCGCCGGTCAAGGTCGCCTTGTACCACGTGGCTGTCAAAACGCTCGTGACCGCCGCCTCGGACGGGTCTCTTCTCGTGTGGCAAGTGCCGCTGAAAGCGTCCGAGTCGCTCGTCCAAGCCGCGCGCTGGTCGACATCGGCGTCAATCGTTGGTGTCACCGCGCACGACGTCACGCTGGTCGTTGTCACGGACGAGAGCCTTCTGATTGCCCTCTCTCCATCGTGTCTCGAGTGGCTCGTCACACCGGTGATCGCACTCCCATCGGACGCACGGCGCAGCGCCGAGCCGAACGTGCTTTTAGCGTGGCATGGCCTCGCAGTTGGTGCGATTCGAGGTCTTGCGTGCCATCCGACACAAGATATGATTGTGACGGCCGGTGACGACAAGACACTGCGACTCTGGGACCTCCATACGCACCTGCAGCTGCGCGCCATGGTGCTGGCTTCCGCGCCGACGGCCTTGGCCTACTCCCCGATGCCCATGGCCGACGACAAGATCCATTTGGCGGTCGCCTTTGCATCCGGTGCGCTGCAAGTGCTCGATGCGGCAACACTTGAGTCTCTCACGACCGTGGCACTAAGTCACCACGCGTGCCGGGACGTCGAGTACGCACCCTGCGGCGCAGTCTTGGCGGTCGCCTGCCACGACGCCAAGATTTACGTGGTTGCGATCAAGGACAAGTTGTTGTATACGCTCTCGAAAGTGTGCGAGTCGACGCTACCGGGCCGGAGCCCGATCGCGCACGTCGACTTCAACTTGGACTCGACCATTTTGCGTAGCAACACGCTGGACCTCGAGTGTGCCTTTTGGGACGTTGCCACCGGTGCACTTCTCGAGCACTCGGTCGCGGCGCGCGAGACGCATTGGCACAGCTGCACGTGTCCGAGTAACTGGGCGCTCACCGGCGCGTCGCAGGTACGCATGCGAGACAAACCACTTGTAAAACGCGTTGGATTTAGGGCATTCCACTCTCGTGCTCGGACCGCGTCCAGTCGGAGAAACCTGGCGGTGCGTTCTCGTCGCAGCTACCCGTGGTGGCCTGGGGGACATGCAAGGTCGCTTGCAGCTGCTCTGGTACCCGTGCGTCGAGCGCAGCGCGGCCAAGACGTACTATGGCCACGCCTCACCGCTGCACACGATTCGATTCAGCGCACGGAATGCGTTCCTCCTCAGCCTCGGCAGCTTTGACCGGACGCTCTTTGTGTGGCGCACCGACTTTGCCGACGAGATCAAGGAGCGTGCGTCGCTAACGGCGCATGACGCCAGCGCCACCAAGGCGCACGCCGCGCTCGTCTCGGACGAGCGGCTTCTAAGTCACGCGTTTGAAGCCGCCAAGAAGGAAGGCGGCGATGAATTCTTAGCTGTCAAGCCCTGGCTGGGTGCGATCCGCGAGCCGAGCGGGTGGACGTCCAAGCCAGGTACTTCGTTCGACCTATTTTTTGAAAGATATACCATGGGTCGTAGACGACGGCGATGCACCCAGTGGCAACCTCGATCTCGTGTTTGTGCATGGGTACCGGGGCTTTGATACGCGCAACAATCTCCGCTTTGGCGCCGACAGCTCGAGCTGCATTTACCACACGGCGGCACTCGGTGTTGTCTACAACAAGCAGACGCACCGGCAGATCTTCCATTACGGCCACACGAACGACATTCTCTGCCTCGCCGTGCACCCCGAAGGCCACTTGGTCGTGAGTGGCGAGGTCGGAAAGACGCCCAAATTGATCTTGTGGGATGCCAACAGCGGGTCGAGTCTCTGTACGATGGCAGGCTTCCACCGGCGGGGCGTTGCGCTGGTCGCTTTCAATTCGACAGGCGACCTCATTGTGTCGCATGGCATGGACGACGACCACAGCCTCGCCATCTACTCGCTCCAAGGCAAGCTCGTCGCTTCGTGTTCAGCGTCCAAGCAAAAAGTAGGTTTTTGTATGTATCTATCAGGGTATCAAGGTAGGGTAGATTCTCTGCCTCGATGTGCTCGCAAGTGACGGCGTGAGCGTCGGCGAAAAGACCGTGCTCTTCTGGAGCTTGTCCCAAACGACGATTTCGCTCAAGAAAGGCAGCTTTGGCAAAGGCGACAGCCGCGGCACCGTGCTTGCTTGCATTTTTGTGCTCAACGAGGCAGTGACGGGCCAAGCCGACGGATCGCTCTACCGCTGGAAAGGCCGGGGCGTCACTGCCGTCCTCGCCCACGCCCACGAGGTAGACGCCCATTTTCATCGTTTTTCTATCGACACATAGGGTGCGATCAACTGCCTCTTGCACGATGTCAAGGCCAAGAACGTCTTGTCGGGCGGCCGTGACGGCCTCGTGCGGCTGTGGAGCTACAGCCTCGAGCCGCTCCTCTCGTTTGATCTCCGCAAAGCGTCGTTGACATCGGCGCTCAGCAGCGCCAAGTCCCGTGAGAAGGATCGATCCTGGACCCTCAATGGCAGCGTTCGGAGCCTCAGTGTCGCGGACGGAAAGCTGCTTTTGGGCACACAAGGCTGCGAGATTTGCGAAGTCGACTTGGCCGACATTCGGGCCAAGAAGGATGCGATCGTCACCAAATTTATCGAAGGCCACGCCGGCGGCGAGCTATGGGGCCTCGCACCGCATCCTGAGAAGCAGCAGTTTGTGACTGCTGGCGACGACGGCACGGTGCGGCTCTGGGACGGCCCCAATCGAACGCTCCTCGCCAAGCAGTCGATGCCCAAGAAGTGGCGCGCGGTCGCCATGTCCCCGGACGGCACCCATATTGCCGTTGGTGCCAACGATGGCTCGGTACTATCCAGATCCTCATGCCAGCTCACCGTCGCGGTGGTAGGTTGTCGTGCTGAAAGAAGCGCTCGATGGCGACGTCGTCGCGGACCTGCGCGTGAGTCTCAAGGCCATCTCGGTACTGCGGTACGCGCCGGACGGCAAGACGCTCGCGGTCGGTAGCCACGACCAGCGCATCTACCTCTTCGCCGCCCCCGCGTACACGAAGCGCTGCGTGTGCAAAGGCCATAGCAGCTACATCACGTCGCTCGACTTTTCATCGGATGCAAGCTATCTCCAGAGCAACTGCGGCGCGTACGACCTCCTCTTTTGGCAAGCCGACAAGGGCAAGCAGGTCACAAGTGCAAATGCGCTGCGCGACGTCAAGTGGGCCACGTGGACGTGCACGCTGGGCTGGCCCGTGCAAGGTCGTCGACACTATTAGTAGGCTTGATGGGTAGATCGCTGTACGATGGAGTAGGTATCTGGCCCAAGGGCGCCGACGGCACCGACGTCAACGCCACCGCACGCGCGTCGTCGCAGAGAGACCTCCTCACGGTCGACGACAATGGCCATGTGAATTTGTTCCGGTACCCGTGCGTCGCAGCGCACGTACGTTACCATCAACAGAGATGCGAGGATGATGGGATACTCACTTAGGCGACGGCCAAGACGTACCTCGGGCACTCGTCGCACGTGACCAACTGCACGTTTACCAAAGGCGACATGTTTGCCGTCTCGACGGGCGGCCTCGACAACGCCATCTTTCAGTTCAAATACGCTGACAAGTAACTTTACAATATATCGACCATCGCGTCAACCTTGTCCGTTGACGCGATGACCGCTCGCCGTCATCTTCAATGTGGCGACCCGCGAACGGCGCCGAAGTGGCACGCCCCATTTCATTGAGTCTGCACCGCTTGTCGCGCCAAGATTTGCACGCCTGTCTCGTGTCTCTGCACCACGGACGCCCCGCCCACTCGCCTGTATGCCGTCGCTACCGCGTCACGACGACGTCCGATCCTCTTCTTCGTATCGACACTGCGCGGGCTCGTTAGTCGTCGGGCGACAACTGCACTGCTGGCGACGTCAGGAGGACCAGAGCGCGATTACTTTTCTCACGCTCGCTGATTGCATCATCATCGTATTGCGATCTTTGACATGTCTGTAGAGGTCCCTTTTTATGGCCTTCGCTACTGGCCGCCATGCTCTGCCAAGAGACCAATCACCGCGTCCCACCTCGCGTCTCATTGGCTAAAATGCGAAATAAAGGCTGTGCATCCGGATACACAATTCATGTATCCGGTGGCGGCTTCCGCGGAGGTCCAGCATTTTCGGATTTCGCAGATCCTACGACGATGGCCAAGGAGACGGCGAAGACGACGAAGACGCCCAAGGTCGAGGACCAGGAGCACGTTCCGCTGGTCGCGGCCTTCCTCTGCTACTTCAACTTTGCGATCCTCATCACCTTTGGCCGGCTGCGCGACTTTGTCGGCTCGTGGATCGGCTACTCGCGCTACCAGTCGGCCGAGGACCGCCGACCGGGCGTCGCCGACATGTTTATTGCGTGGGAAAACTTTTACACGAACCGGATTTACCACCGCGTCCAAGACGTCTTCAACCGACCGGTGTCGTCGGCGCCGGGCGCGCGCATCGACGTCATCAAGCGCGTCTCGCACGACGGCAACAAGTCGATGACGTGGACGCACGAGACGCAAAACTGCCTCAACCTCGGCTCGTACAACTACCTCGGCTTTGCCGACGACTGGATGGGCACGTGCGCGCGCATGGTGCTGCCGGTCGTCGACGCGCGCAACGTGTGCAGCAATGCGCCGTCGGGCGAGTATGGCACGACGCCCGAACACGAAGAGCTCGAGACGCTCGTCGCCGAGTTCATCGGCAAGCCCGCGGCCATTGTCTACAACATGGGCTACGGCACGAACGCTGCCTCGATTCCCGCGCTCATGGGCCAAGGCACGCTCATCATCTCGGACGCACTCAACCACACGTCGATCGTCAACGGCGCGCGTGCCTCTGGTGCGACGGTCGCTGTCTTCAAGCACAACAATGCGGCGCATCTCGAGGTCATGCTGCGCACCAAGATCGCCGAGGGCCAGCCGCGCACGCACCGCCCGTGGAAAAAGATCTTTGTGATTGTCGAAGGCATCTACTCGATGGAAGGCGAGATCTGCAACCTCCGTGCGATCGTCGACGTGGCCAAGAAGTACCGCGCCTACATGTACGTCGACGAAGCCCACTCGATTGGCGCGCTCGGCGCGACCGGGCGCGGTGTCTGCGAGTACACGGGCGTGGACCCGAGCGAGATTGACATTCTCATGGGCACCTTCACCAAGTCGTTCGGCGGCATGGGCGGCTACATTGCCGCCTCGAAAGAAATCATCCACGTGCTCAAGACGGCGAGCGCCGGCCACACGCTCGGCACGAGCCTCTCGCCGGTCATCACCGCGCAGGTGCTCGCGGCGTTCAAGGTCATCATGGGCCGCGACGGCACGACCATTGGCGCGACCAAGCTCCAGGCGCTCCGCGACAACAGCAACTACCTGCGCCAGGGCCTCAAGGACATTGGTGTCGTGACGCTCGGTCAGTTTGACTCGCCCGTCATCCCCGTCATGCTCTACTCGATCTCCAAGATTGCCGAGTTTTCCCGTCAGTGCCTCAAGCGCGACATGGCGGTCGTCACGGTCGGCTTCCCCGCGACGCCGCTCCTCCTCGGCCGCGTCCGGTTCTGCGTCTCGGCCGCGCACACTAAGTCGGACCTCGAACTCGCGCTGAAGAACCTCGCGGCCGTCTCGTCGACGGTGCACATTCGCTTTGAAAAGCATCTCTTTGGCTAATCTCTACGACTTCTCCCAATGCTCTATTTTAACAAAGTGTCCAAACCGCATGAACCCAACGAAGACTACCATATTCTACTTGTATTAATAGTTGATCGCGCACATATTAGTACAACTAAGCTTACTTAATCGTCGAGGTCCGACTCGGCGTCACCATAGTGCCAGAGGCAGAGGCGGCGACGCTTGGCGTGGTCGAGAGCCGCCAAGAGCTTGTCGACAACGACCTTTTGGTACGGCTCGGCGCGCTTAATGGCCGCGCGGTCGACCTTGGCGATGCCTTGCTCCAAGAGGATCTCGGCCACGCTCTTGTCCTGGAGCTGGAGCGTCACCATCTGCCGGCCGTTGCCGTCATGGCCGTGCAGAATCGCCGTCAGCGTCTTGCCCCACGCCGTGTCGTTAAACACGTGCGCCGCGTCCTCGGCGTACTCGGCGCCGTCCCCAAACGGCTTGATGAAGCCCAAGACGCACGGCTTGGCCTGCGGCGGGTACTGCGCGAGCGCTGGGTCGAGCGGGCGGAGCCGCGTCGTCGGCACAAACTCCGTGTTGCCGTGGTCGACGAAAAACACCTGCACGCCACGCACGGAGAGCGACTCGATGCGCGCGCGGTTCCACGCCGGGCCCTGGCCGTCGTCAAAGAGGGCAGCGCAGAGCACGCCCTTCTTCATCTCAAAGGTCTTGCCGTCCGTGCCGACGGCGTCCGTAAACATCTTCATCTTTTGCTCGAGCGTCGCGAGCGTCCGGTCGCCGATGTTTTGAATGTAAAACGTCGTCGCGTTCGTAATCTCCGAGAGCCGGACGACCGGGAGGACCTCGTCCGCCGTTCGCCGCACGACCGTCTTGGCCACGGCCTCTTCTTGCTCGACAAAGTTCTTCCAGAGATGCAGGCGCGACGCCTTGGCCGTCTCTTGGGCCTTCTGGAGGTCGGCGCTCGAGCCGTGCGGTCAATCGAGAAATCGTCAATGCGCGCATAGCCGCTCGAGAGGAGCGTCACGCCAAAGTCGTTCTTCGTGTCCTTCGTGCCCACAAACATCGGGCCAAACGCGTTGCCCATGCGGTCCATGTCCTCGACTTCGATGAGCACGTTGCGCTGCATGACGCTGCGGCGCGCAAGGCGGCGTGCGTCCTCGCCGTACGGCTCGGCGTCCTTGGACGGCTTGGCCGGCTGCGGGCACTTGATACCGGCCACGATAAAGTTGACCGTGCAGTTCTCCTTGGGCACGTAGACCTTGAAGCGGTTGCCAGCGTACACGGCTTCGACGACCGCGCGCATCGTCTTTTCGCGCTGGAGAAACGGAAGGTACTGCTTGGCCTTGTGCGCGTCAAAGCAGAGGTCGGTGATGCGCGCCTCGGGCGACGGCTTGCCCGAGTGGAGGCCGCGCTTGGCGGCCTTGGCCGTCGCCTCCGCGGCGACGAGGAGGTCGTAGTGGGCCGACTTTTCCTCGCCTTGGCGGTGGCGCACGACTTCGGCGAGGCCGTCGAGGATAAGCGACTCGCCGAGGTTGATGCGGGGCTTGGGCTCGGCGCCCTTCTTCTTCGCGGGCGTCGCTTCGAGAAAGACGCTCGCAAACGTCATGACGTTGTTGTCGGCCAAATTCGGGTTGTTGCGCTCGTACTCAATCTCAATCGAGACGGATTTGCCAATGCACTTGGCGCGGAGCCCTTCCTTCGAGTCGACGGCGTACGGCGCGTTCGGCTCGTTGCGCCGGGCGTTGCCCATGCGGGTGCGCGCAGCGACGAGAGGTAGATGCGCTGCTCCTCGAAATTCTTGTTCTTGTGCGCCACGACAATGCAGTCGCCGCTCACAACCTCGACGACGATCGCCGTCAGCGACGTGTCGGTCGCCGTAAGCACCGGCGGGACGTAGTCGACCCACACGCGCAGCTTGAGGAGCTTGGCCGTCTTCTCGGCGTTGCGCATCTCGGTACGCGTCGCGACGCTGAGAAACTCCGAGCTCCAGTCGCTCATCTTGCCGAGACCGTTCTTGAGGATCTCGACGCTAATGTTGTGGCCCGACGGGTGCACGACGCTGCCAAAGCAATTCTAAGATGTCATGAGATATCGGCAAGACAAGGCAAGAGAGAGACGTACACCAAACTTGTCGACACCCTCGAGCTTGACGTTGACCTTGCGGTGCAGGAGGCGCATCTCGGTAAAGAGCTTGGCTTCGCGCGCAAACGGTGCGGGGCCCGTGGCTTCGGCGCCGACCGGCGGGTTGATGCGCGGGCACTGGACGCCCGAGAGCGCAAAGTTGATGATCTGCATCGTCGAGAGGAGGATGACGCGCATCGCCGCGCCGTCGCGGACCATTTCGATGATCGCGGGGATCTGCTGGCCCTTGAAGCGGCCCAAGAGCTCTTCGCCCGTCGCGCCACCCCACGTCACGTGGCGCGTCGCATTGTTGTCTTCGGCGTACATTCCCTTCTTCTCCGTGATCGCGATCTGCTCGACGCGCAGCATCTCTTCCAAGTCGGGCGAGCACCCATCGCGGCTCTGTTCGAGCGTCTTGACCTTGGCAAAACCAGCCTTGGCAACGAGGACGCACACGTTTTCGCCGTCGAGGTAGATCGAGCCAAAGTCGCGGTTGATGACCGAGACCTTGTACTCGACCTTGAAGCGCACGACCTTGCCAATGAGGAGGTTGCGCAGGTACTCGCGCGATGCAAATGCGTACGGCTAATGCCCATCATGAGCCATGCCTCCAAGATCCACATATGCATCTACCTCGTCGTGCTGCTCGGCTGTGCGGGCGAGCTTGGGCGCCTGGAGCGAGGCCAGCGTAAGCATGAGCTCCGGCGGAGGGCCATTCGTGGCGTTGCCCATGAGGACGACAGTGTCGCCGCTAAGGACGGCCTTCACGGTAGCATTGCCCGACGCCATCTTGAGAGGTTGACTGCAAATTCGGAAATGAGGGCAACCGCAGACAGGATCCTCGTCGCAATACAAACTTCAAGTCGGCCGGTAGACGCGATTTCGTCCGCAAATCACCACGCTTGTCCGGATACCGTGGATTCCGAGCGCCATTCTCAACACAATGCGTTTTGAGAAACCCAAGCGCTTGAAGCTAATCCCACGCGTCTTTACAATATACAACGTCTCATGTTTTGGGAATCAATGCGCTTAAATAGTGTGCAAATAGACACGACGCGTCTGTGCCACTCAAACTCAAAATACAAGTGACTGCATTACGTACACGGTATGCAAGACTTCAACCTGCGGCCAAAGATGCGCCACACGTGTGGCGGGTCCACGTGTCACAACGACGGCCCGACGCTGCGCTGCGCCCGGTGCAAGGTCCAGCGCTACTGCTCCCGCGCCTGCCAAGCAGAGGCATGGCCGGCCCACCGGACGGCCTGCGGCCACATGGTCATGGCGACGACCTGGCAGGCCCTCGAGGCCGCGTGGTGGACCCAGCTCCCCGTCGCCGTGCGGCAAGCGCTCGAGGCTGACGGACTTACGATCACCTCCATGGTACGCCGATGCGCGATCTGCCACCTTCCTCACCTCCGTCGTAGGCGTTCTTTGGCGAAGTGTACTTTGTCTTGGCGGGCCTCAAGCCCTGCGTCGTGCTTACCGGCGTGCCCACGCCTTGGAAAGAGCACTTTCTCGAGCATGTGGTACGGCCCAGCGGCGTTCTCGGCGCGCCCAACGTGCGACTCGCGTCGTCTGGCAGCGTCCACACGCACGCGTTTGACTTGTCCAACCACGTTGTGCTGCTCCACACCATGCATCCCATGTACGCCGAGGCCGCTTCGCTCCTCCACGTCGATATGCCACTCGCCGCATCGGTTATGGTCACCGAGTCGCAGGTCGCTCGCATCCTCGACTACCCCGTCGGCCTCGACGAGTGCGCGGTCGGTACGATGTTGGAAGTGGCTTATTTTAGCAACGACACGCTTCTGACGACGTTCTGCGCGCTCGATACGCCACGTCATCGACGCCTCATTAACGTTCACTTCCAACGCTACCAAAGTGCACTCGGCTCGATGCTACCGCTGCGCATCGAGGCCGTCGTCGTGTCGTCGTGAGTCGTCGTACTGCGCCTGGATGCGCGCGGCCCACGCCGTCTGCTGGGCCACGTCGGCGGGTGTCGCAGGCATCTCGGTGCGCGGCGGTACCGGTATGCGCCTTCTCGGAGTCTTCTTTGGGGACAATTGCGCCTTGTGCAACGGCGAGAGCAGCAACTCGACCTTATAAACACTTGAATCGCAGGTGTCCGTAGCGTAATGGAGTACCGTCTCGGCGTCCGTCTGTGGCTGCTTCTTGCGCAGCGTCTGCCAGCGCGACTCCTGTGGCGTCTCGGTCTGTAGAAACGACGCGTGAAAAAGCGTTTTGGAAGCATTTCCGTCGACGGCTTGGGTCTCGGACGCGACAAACGCCGACAAATCGTCGTCGTCGTCGTCGACAGGCGGGCGCGTTGGCGACCGCTTGGTGCGCCGTGGGTGGCTTCTCGGTTTCGCCGTTGGATGGTAGTCGCCAGGACCTACAACAACGCGCCGCTCAGTATTGCTTTTTCTCACAAGGCTCGAGACAAACACCCGACCTGGCGTCACGCCGGCGAGGGGCTTGGCTGTCGGCGCCGGCATTTCGTACGTCCAGAGCGTCATGGTCAGCGGCGCCTTTATCGGCGGTGGACATGCAGCGACGCGGGCGCGCGAGCGGCCCACTTCGATGGCGGTCAAGAGTCGTCGGATCACATCCAACGACATGGCGTTGGACCCAAGGTCACTCGGCGTCTACCGCAAGCCATCACTGCGCTGTTTTAACTTCAGCATTGGCGTACCATGCTCAAAAGGTTTTGAAGGCGGTTGTCGGCTTCCACCATCTGTGGCTCGAGCTCTAGTGGAGGCTATGAGCCACACATGTGTGGCTGCGTTGTACCGGGTGGTATCTCGGAGGTCTGGAGGGCTTCAAAGCGCTGCAGTAGCTGCGCGACCTCAGTTTGCAGCTGTGCTAACGACACCGTCGTGTGCGGCTGCGTCGATGCGATTGGCTTTGCGGGTTCGAACCCGGCGCTCAAGAGGTCCTCGACACCGTCATGGATGCTTGCAAGGAACGCTGCGTCGTCGGGGTTCATCGCCTTGTTCATCGGTGGCGCCTTCTTTGGAGCTGCCTTGGTTGGGGGTGGCTGTGCTTTCTTGACGGCCGTCGGGACAGGATCTTTTGAAGCATGTGTTGAGTTTGCAGCGGTGTTCCTCGTCGCGGCGACCGGCTCGGAAGCCGCGGACGTCGCAACGAACCCTGGTCCCGACGGCTTTTTCAATTTTTTCTTCTTCATCGTTGTCTTGTCCGAGGCTGATAGACGCGTGAGGTTGGACGGTAGACTATATTTGTCTCGGTAGCTCTCCATTTCCATCAGCAAGGCGCGGTAAAAAAGACATCGCTGCAGGGGAAAGCTGCCTCGCAGTCCAAACGTATCATGGAACGCGGCCTACGTTCCTCATGCTTCTGGGATGGTACAAGCGCAAGGCGCACCGGTGTGAGCTTGAGAAAGGCTGGGCCGTCAACTTTGTTCTTGTGAAGACCCGTGGACGGGACGTGGACGACGTCAAGGAAGCAGCGCAGCTCGTCACAGCTCCACGAGCTCACGCGGGACCGATCTACGCGCGGGTCTAAGCTTCCATTGCGGATCATGAAAGCGACGTTACCAAGGAAGGCAGCCACGGTTTTGGACGTCGGCGACAGCTCCAGTTGCTATGTAGCATCCCGCAGCGTAATCGGGAATATGCGTGGCGCATCGCACTACCTTGCGCAAGACGAGACAAAATTGTTTCAGGCTCTTGGGCGGTTCGTGCTGCAGTTTGGTCGTGGCCAGGACAGTGGAGAGCTCTGGCGTAAGCTGCAGCGGGACGCAGAGGAATGCTTTCTGCGACCACACACATGAGAAATTAGACAACTCGTTCATGTTCACAACCTCGTGCAGACGGAGGTCGGCGGCTTGGACGATGGGAAGGGACGCGGGTAGCGCTGGCGTCGACGTCGATCCGAGAACGATCGCCGACTGCTGGTCGACCATGAAGCGCTCGACTTGATGCCGCTCGGCTTGACATCCAACGTCACTCAGGCACGTGGAGCAGAGGGCCGTCGTACAGTCGCAGCACCAGTGCGCAGCCACCTCGGTGACGCACAAGTGGCAGTGGTGGGCTTTCGTCGCCAGTAGCTCTTCAGGCGACTCGAGCACCGGTGGCAATTCCGGTAGCTCCGTCTCTGGCCGCGACGATGCCGCGAGGAAGGCATGGACGACGCTTTGGAGCTCCGTCTCGAGCAGCCACATGCTCGTCCGCCGCGGCAGCGACTCGGTCTCCTGCTGCAGACCACCATGCAGCGCGCCGTACATGCTGTCGGTCATGGTCTGAAGCGCAACGATAAGAGCGGAGCGGAGAAGCTCCTTCTTCGGTGGCGGGCGGGGCAGCGCGGGAGGCGCCATTGCTTTGGCCAAGCGCGATGACGTGGCCGACGACGGGCGCTTGGTTGCAATGGGCGGCCTTACGCTCGATTTTGTGTTCGGTGGTTTCGTGCGCGCAGCCGCTGATGGCTGGTTGCTGGCTTTCGTGGGTGCTGGCTTGGCCGGCGGTTCGGCTGCCGTCGGCGCCGACGTGTCGGGTGGTACCGTTGCCAGCTCAGGTGCGTGGCGCGCTTGCTCGACCGCGGCAATCTCGTGGTTCTTGCGCATGCGTCCGACGTGGCCTTCCGCGTGCTTCTTCTGGACGCGTATACGTGGCGGCTTCTGGGGCGGCGGCGCCTGTCTTGGCGGCGGTCTAAAAATAGAATGGTTGCGTGCGATTAGAATGACACGCGGTGTACATTATGGGCGGCGCGTCGTCGCAACGCAACTCGAACATTTTTTTCCACTCCGAGTGCACGTCGGGCTGGGGGGCCACCGCGAGACCACCGAGCATCGCGGGCTTGGGTGCCGGTTTGGCGGCAATGGTGAGCGTGGCCTTTGGTGGCGACGAGACGAGCGAGTGGCGAAACGAAGGCAGCGGCTCCGCGTCAACCTCGTCCGTCGCCTCCGGCTCGTCACCGCTGGTAGCGATCGCAGGGACACACATCGTAGGCTTTTGCACGGTGGCGTCTTCAAGTGGAATGGACGGAGAAGGTGTCGCAGCGACTATGGGTTCTTGAACGGGCGTGCATGTCCTTGTCAAGGCTACAGCTGGTGGTTCGGAATCGGGGCTGAAACTTGGAGACGGTGGCATGTCGCTTTCAGAGTGCAGCGGGGACACCGTAGCAGCCCCCTCCGTTGATGGTGAAGACGTTTTAACAGTGGGCTTCGACACCGTGGCTACCACAGGCGTTGATGTCACCAGTCTGGGCTCCGATACTGGTCGCTCCAAGGAAGGAGTGGGCTCGAAAGTCATCGATTTTGTTGGTGGGCGGACTGCAGGCGCGTCTGCGGGGCCTGGGGCTTGCTTTTCTTGCGGTTCGGGAGCAATTGACGTACTCTTGCCGACTTGTTGCGAGTCAGCAGCAGACGCTTTGGATGGTGTCGGTGCGTCTTCGATACCTCCATGGCTTTTCCCTCTGGTTCGTCTGGGGGACTAGGATGGGCCTTTTGTGATGATGGTCGTGATGCGGACTCGACAGCTACAGTAGCAGGCGGGAGCACCCCAGCGACAAGGTCGTTTGACGGAGGCGGGGCTGTAGTTGTCGGAACAGAAGCGACGAGCGGTGGTACAAGCTCCCGTGGCGCAGTTTCTAGGACTGGCAGCGGTTCGTGCGATGGCTTCTTCTGGAGAGTCTTTGGTTCGACGGCTGGAACCTCGACCAAGGTCCTCTGTGCGTCTGGCATCTGTGGTACGCTGATTTCTGGCAGCAGTGCCGATGGGCTGGGCGATGGTGTAACCATCGGCGCTGCAGTGGTGTCTACACCTTTGGCACCGTGTCCGACCGTATTTGTGGCGTCCGTAAGCACTGGCGTGGAGGTGACCTTGATTTCTGGTTCGACGTCGATACGTGCAGTCGAGATCTCTGCCACGGGAGCTGCGACCGATGCAGTAGTCGGCATATCCTGTGTGGATTCTTGCTGCTTCGAGTCTCCTGTGCTATCCACGGCCGGCTCGTTTATGGGCGGTGCAGGTTTTGACGCAGCTTCAAGGTCTGGAGTTGGGTTGGCAACCTTGCTGAGCTTAACCACTGGCACACCCATGGATGCATCGGGTAGCGGAATGTCGACTTGAGCGGGGTCCATACCCGCGGAGGCGGCTGGTATCGAGCTAGTTGTCGCGAACTCGACAGGTGCTTTGGTGGCAGTCAGCGTCCCACTGGTCGCAGTCTCGGGCTTGAGATCTTCGGACGGCATTGACGGCGCTGCTTCAAACGGTACCGCAAGTGCACCTTCGGCTGGAAGATCCTTTGGAGCAGCAGGTGCGCTTGTCGACGTGGCTTCTTCTACCAAGTGCTCGGATGGTGCAATTTCCGAATTCTCAGATCTTGCGGGAGCCGTTGGCACGGGAGGCGTCGCCGGCGCAGGATCGATGGCTTTAGCCGCCGGCGTGGGCTCTGGTGATGCAATGGCTAGCTCCACAGGTGGTGGCTCCGAGACACTTGCCGACGCTGGAGACACAGGCTCCTCGACGACCTCGGACGGCGCCTCAAGAGCCACTGACGGGACCTCAACATCCACCGACGGGACCGCGGCGACCACAGAAGGTGCCTCCACCACCGGGGGTGCCACGGCGGCGTTCGGGGCCTCGACAGCCGCAGACGGCGCATCGACAGCGGGGACGTTAGCAGCAGGCAAGCCATCTGTAATCACCGCTGCTGCATCGACTAGGACCTCGACTGCAGCAGGAGCAGACGAGGTGTCCGTGACCGACGGTGCTTCGGTGACCAAAGGCTCGACAACCGTCTCGGCCACCGCGGTCTCGACAACCTGCGGCGGCAGCACTTCCACCGAGAGGAAGAGCTCGCCCCGGCGCTTGGGTCCGTGGTTGAGGGGTACGCCTTCTCGATCGGGTTCTTGCCGTTGGCCGCGTCCGCGCGCCACTCGGCGACGCTGAGCGTACAGCTGCCCAGCAGATCGTTCTTGGGCTCCTTCGGGCGCTCGACGAGAACACTCAGCTCGTCACCGACATCGTCAAACTCGAGCACCTCGTCCCACGTCGGGTTGGTGCCGCCGGCCACGTGCACCTGCGTTTGCAGCGTCGTGGGTCCGAGCGTCAGCGCAACGCGCGCATCCTGCTTGCTGAAGATCTGCGCATCGTACAAGTTCCTCGCCCGCTGGACGCGGATGCGGACCCGGCCCGCCATACTCGGCGATGAAACCGCCCAAGATTCGACCTTATCCTCAATCTACCAAGCCGTCTCTTGACCCTTCCACGCCGATAGCGTACCACTAGAACGACTCGATCGACAAGGCGGCGCTGGCCATGATGCATGCGCTTCTATGCAGCGCCGTATCTTGGCCGACGACTTGGGTGGGTTCGACGTCGTTGGCTAGCGTACCAAGCAACTGCCCGCTCGCGCCTGACGACTCCGCTCTTTTGTCGGATCGGGCGCAACACCATGATGGCCTTTGCGGCGAAGAATGGCCATGCGGCCACAGTGCGCAGATCACGCCCATGATGGACATGCCCAGCTGCAGCCGCCTCGCTCCTCGCAGCATGCAGCCGTCGTCACTAGGATACGTCGCATAGCATGCATTCGTCGTTGCTATAATTGACCGAGGCCGTCTCGGGTGCATCATCAATGATGCGCCACATGTCGCCTGCCATCTCGACACCACGGCTTGAACTTGCCTTCAAGGGCGCGGGCTGCAGTGCATGCCTCCTTCCATCCATTGCAGTGCCTAGGCGCTTGTAGAGCCGTTCCATGTAGCATGTCATGGCAGCGCGCATGGGCGAAGGTCGTCGAAGACAGGCCGGTTGGATGATGTTGTCGCAGGGCCGGGCCCGCGGCCGTGGCCCATCCCCGATGAATGCTAACGAAGTTATCGTCAACGGAACTGCAAGTGCGGTAAAGTCCGAATTCGTACTTAAACGCGCTAAATCGAACGTGATTGAGCATTTCCCGCACCTAACCGGGACTTTCGACACCTTTTGACGGTCGGCCCCCACCACGAACGCTCGGATGTGGGGTCAGTCTTCCAATAGTCCAGCACCATGATGCAAACTCGTCTCCTGGCCCGCTCGTCCGCCATCGGCGCGCGCTCCTTCGCGGCCGCGGCTGCCGACCTCAAGCTCCAGGCGCCGGCGACCAAGGTAGACATCGCATACGCATGGCCAGGCGCATGACAATGCCATGGACATGTAGAACGTCAAGTACTTCAAGATCTACCGCTGGGACCCCGAGACGAAGGAGAAGCCGTACTTGTGCACGTACCCGGTCGACCTCAACGAGTGTGGCCCCATGGTGTTGGACGCGCTCCTCAAGATCAAGAACGAGCAGGACCCGACCTTGACCTTCCGCCGGTAAACGCCCTTGATGCCGCATTGCAGGAAGAGGCTCATGACCCTGTAGCTCGTGCCGTGAAGGTATCTGCGGCTCATGCGCCATGAACATTGATGGCGGGAACACGCTTGCGTGCTTGTCGCCGATCGACAAGAAGACGGACACGACCAAGATTTACCCGTTGCCGCACATGTATGTCATCCGCGACTTGGTGCCCGACATGAACAACTTCTACGAACAATACAAATCGATCAAGCCGTGGCTGCAGTCGGATGTGGTCAAGGACGACAACACGGAGTACTTGCAATCCAAGGAAGACCGCAAGAAGTTGGATGGCATGTACGAGTGCATCCTCTGCGCGTGCTGCAGCACGTCGTGCCCGAGCTACTGGTGGAACCCCGACAAGTACCTCGGCCCTGCCGGTACGATCACCGTCTCTGCATCATGGGCTTATGATGTTGCCGCTTTCTAGTCCTCATGCAAGCGTTCCGCTGGATTGAAGACTCGCGCGACACCAAGACGCAGGAGCGTCTCGCCGCGTTGGACGACACGTACAAGCTGTACCGTTGCCACACGATCATGAACTGCACCAAGACGTGCCCCAAGCACTTGAACCCGGCCAAGGCCATTGGTAAGATCAAGAAGATGCTCTCGCCCTTGTAAGCGGCGGAGCATGCGGCGGTCGATGACACTCGTGATGAACCAAAATAAAAAGTGAGTCTTTGCATTGGAACGCACCTTGTCTCGCTCTGCCTCGACGCGTACGAGGTCTCGGGACGATGCAATTGCAACGTCCTGCGTCAGGCGTCACGCCAACGACCCTGTCGCACACACGCCAAACTTCCCAAGCTTCCAACTTGCTGTACCAAGCCCCATGCCACCCATGGTGCGATGCCCCAGCAGTCGAGCCACGCGATGCAGAGCCGACGCCCGCCGTTGCGGAAGCACGCGCCAAGCATCTCGCTTGCGCCACGCTCTCAGTGCGAATGAAGAGCTCGCATATTGAGCCTCATGCCGGCGGCTACCCAAGCTCCTTCCTACAAGTTGCGCTCGAAGCATCCCACTGCATGGACCGACTGCGCACGACGATAATGCAGCACACGAACGAGGTAGATGATCATGTGTACAGTCGGCGCATGCCGGTCTGAATGACGTCATGGTACAAGCTGTGGAGGCGCTCGATCCACGCGCGACGGGCGCCCCATGCAAACGCTGGAATCGTCGCGTCGAGGACATCGGCGGCCGTCGTGGCCGCGATGCACGTCGGCTGCAGCTCGCGCAGGAGCACGAGGGTCAATAGCGGTATGTAGTCCATGCCGTAGACACCGACCAAGTTGATGTACACCATGACGTGGCGCCACGGGAGGACAGACCAGAGACCGTGGAGCTGCCAGCGCAAGAGCAATGTCGTGAGTGGAACGTGCAGTCGCTTGAGCGCCGTCAGCACCTATTGGCTCGATGAACAATTATCAACTTGATAGAAAGGTAGGTACGGCAGGGCACTCGGTGCCAGCGACCGCTTCGACGATGGATGCGACGCGGAAGAGTGGGACGGGGCAGCCCTGGAACGTGGCGTCGGCCATTGCGCGCGCGGGCCAGAGGAAGAGCGCCGGGCCTGCGCCCCGGAGCGCCGCCAAACACGCCAGCACCTCCTTGACACTGTGGCGCGGCGACAACATCACGAGGAGACTCCACACAAACGGGTCGCACGCTTCGCGCCCAAGGCCGCGAACGTCGGCGGTAACAACGACGTGCACGGCAACGCGTCGAGCCCAATCGACGTAGTCATGTGCTTGAGCCACCGGTTGATGACCGGCAGCCATGTCTCGGACGCGGGTTCGATCGAAGGCAAGGCCGACGACGCACACCTTGGGTACGGCAGTGCGAGCTTGCTCTTGGCGCCGACGACAAGCTCCATGACAACATCGCCGAGCCACGCGGTGAGCGGCGCGTCATCGGGCACACTCGCCATGTCGTCGACAATGTGCCAATAGAGGTCGCCGATCGCCTTAAAGTCCAAGTGGTTGGTCGCGGCGCGCATGGCGTGCTGCAACTGCAAAAACTGCGCCTCGAGGGACCGGAGCGACAACGCGCATGGCGTTGCGACCGTCGTTGGCAGCGTGCGAAGCAGCACATCTGGCTCATCGCGCGTCGCTGTGATGCGCTGGAATCGTTGCTGGATGCGGTGCTGGCGCCACGAGATCGGGTCGATCGCACACGGTGGCATCTGGTTGAGGCAGTCGCATTGCCATAGCGCGGCGTCTACTTGCATCGCCACCGCATGTGCACCCGCAGGCGACGAATGCACGAGCGCGTCCACCAGAACCAGCTGCGCTAAATGCGAGACGTCCCCAGCCCTCGCGTCCACGACCCAGCGACGCCACCACGGCGAGTGTGCGATGCCATTCGAAGCATACGGCGTTCGAAAGAGAAGCGCGAGGTCCGATAGGTCGACCACCGTGTCCCGCAGCTCCAGAGGTGCGTCGACACCGCAGTCCACGAGCGCTTCAAACCCGTCGACGTGCGAATTCAACGCGTCGACGCGGTCCTCGAACGTCGTCGCCAGCGTCGTGCTGGCGTGCAAGAAGGTAGCTGCCGACGTTGGTATCGAAAGCATCTGCAAGAGCGTGTGCATGTCCCGCGCCGCCCACAGCGGCTCGAGGGTGATCGGAAACGCAAGCAGCAAGTCGTAGGCGAGCGCGAGCCCGCGTGCGGTCGCCGTGAGATCGCGCAGGATGCAGTCCCGCAGCCGTGTCGGCAAGGCCGGGCACGCGTCTCGCACGATCGCCAACCATGCTGTCGAGCTTGTAAAGAGGTCGAGCCAGAGAAGCGAGGCCCGACAGGCACCGGCGATGCGCGCGTGCATTTCGCCAGCGCATACGGTGGCATCGGACACAAGGGACACGATCTGGTGCGCAGCGTCCGCCGTCGGCGGCAGCGAGAGGAGGCCGTCGACGGCGCTTCCCACGAGCTGCTGCACGAACGCCTGGATGCGCGGGTGGTCGCGGTGCACGAGCACGTGTTGCATGTACGTAAGCAACAGCGGCTTGGCATCTCTTGAGCCCATCGCCGCATACGGGAAGGCGATGCTTGCCATGTCCACCGGGCGCTCGTGCTCGAGGCGTCGGACGTGCAGTAGCACCTACACCCGCGTCATCAAGCTAGGATGATGCAAGAACGCATTTACGTGCAGCAGTAAATCGTAGAAAGAGGCCGACTGCTGGCGACGCACGAGGTGGACGAGCTTTGGTAGCATGGCTTCGTGCATCGCATCGAGTGGCGACGAGCTGACGGCCGCACAGCCCGCGTCCGACCGCCAGAGCTGCACTAGACACACCTAGTCCATGCCGCCGTCCTCGTCTGTTGCGTTGTTTTCCATGGGACAACAAACCAGGGTTAGGTGTAGGCACGCCGCATCCAACCCAACGCTGTCCGTCTTGCTCTATACGAAAGCATGAGGAAGAGACAAGACGTAGTTAAATGTGGGTACAGGGGCAGGACATGCGGGCGACGATATCGTGAAGAGCAATTGGTTGGTCGTGGGATCCGGCGACAGAGTCGCGGGCAGTGGCGTGCTGCCGGGCTGCTCGGTTGTGGGAATTTGCATCGGAAACGCCGCTTGCACAGAGGATAATGGGAGGAGCTCGAGCAGCATGTGCAGAGTCTGACCACACAGATAGAGAGTCGTAGGTGCGACGTCCGCAGATCAAGCATGCTCTACCTGGACCATGGCCTTTTGCATGAAGATCGTGTACCACTGCGGCAGCGGCGACGGACTTTCGAGCGCAACGTGCGACGACGGCAGTAGTGTCGCGCGCGAGAGACTGCGGCGGCGATACGTCACGCCCGCCGGCGACATGGTGTGCCGGGAGAACTTGCGCCAGAGCTCGACGGCCACGTGGCCGTGCACAAGCCGCTCGATGAGGTGGCGTATGACTTGGCACTCGTGTAGCGAGTGCAGCCACTGGCCTTTCCGCGGGCACGTCAGGTGCCAGCGCCTATGGTGGACATCATGGTGTCTTCACCCTCGCACGCGTTGTTGTAGTATTACGTGAACCACGTTGCTTGCATGTCGATACAGGCCAATATCGATGCGGGCGGGATCCAGTCGGCGGCCGACCCCGAGAGGCTCTGCTCGGTACTGGGACTTAGTGGGTAGTCCCATGGCCCGAGCAGCTGTGCGGTCATAAGCAGCGCGCGGGCGTGGACGTCGGGTGGAGCATAGATCCATTCGTTGGGCAGCACGTGGAAAAGGTGGTGGACATAGCGAAGCACGCGCAGCAGGCCGCGCTGAGGCGACTGCGACGGCGTCGGCGACGCGATCGATGGCTTGCGAAGAAAGAGAGCTGCGCGAGGTGTGCTATGCAGCAGCGTCTCGAGCAGCACAGCGTACAGCCGGCACTGCGCAGCGATGTCGGTGCCTTGGACGAGCATATGCATTCGCGTGATCGCACTTGTCGACGTCGCGTCGTCCTTGTCGAGGCAAAATGGCACGAGGCGGCGCGT